TCTCAGCTAACACCCGCCATAGCTCGACAGGGTCAGCCTGGTTGACCACGTCCTGGTAGCGGATAAGGGTTTCATCTGAGATGGCCGAGACAAGAAGTCCATTTGCTTTGCGATATCTGCTATTCCAACAGTCCTTCACGCTAGAAGACCAGCTGTTGTTGAAGGGTTCCTTGCCTAGGACAAGCTGGGCCATGTTTGAGACATTTAGACCTATAAGCACTCGTAGGCGCCAAGCGGGGTAATCCTCCGGCTTGGAGAGCTTTTTGTCCACCTGCAGGGTCACTACGGCTGCTACTCGATTCATTTTGTCCTCAGGTTCAGTGTCAGCTTTTCTGCGGCTCGTGGAGCTATTTCCAAAGGTGTCTTCTCGTCGAGCTGGGGGAGAAGGCGATCGATCTTTTAATGAGCGAATGGTCAGTTGCCAGTTTGCTGTCTCCTTCTCTTCTGCGGGTTTGGCCAATGAGCGTTGCCCATCTTTTGATTCCGCCAATGGAAATACAGAATCTTTCACTGTCACAGGTACCCGAGAGTGATGGTCACCAATCGTCGGATTAGAATTTTCAGTCAATTCCCCTTTTTCTTCAGAGTCGGCGCTATTTGACCCCGAGGGCACCGCTCCTGTTGCAGTCTGGTTGTCGCCTTCGCGTCGCTGCTCCGCACCACTGGTACGTTTGCTGTCTTGGCTTGCTTCTGTTGTTGGGCTCATAACCTGAGACGTGCTGTGTGCCTTGTAGTTACCGTCAGCGTGACGTAGGCTCCAGCAGCACGTATACTTAAAGGAAGAGCAAGATAGACGAGGTGGAAGGCGGGAGTTGCCTGGCAGAATGCCGCGGCGGGAACAACCAAGGTGAGGAGCTTGAGTACTCGCTGGTACGATTGGAAGTGAAAGCATAGCTGCGCCGCAGCCCGCTCCTCAACCTTGGGACCCATGCTTTATTTAGTGAGCAGTTGCTAACCACTCTTGTTGTCTTATATAGCTGCAGGTGCTGGTGCTGAGGACTAGGGCGGTTGCAACCGCCATGAGAGGCTGCGCCTCTCACCATCGCAGGAGGAATATGGAGTACAATCGCGTACGCGACCGTGTGGCCGCTGCTACACGTCGGTGCCAGCACTGCTCGCTGGCAGTCTGGCACTGGTACACGCTGGTACGTCACATCCACCTTCGCAATCGGCTTGTATCTGCGCTGCCTGCTTTTTCCACTTCGATATCTGATTTTGCTTGCGCTTTCTGTCTGAGCTAGATAAGGGCGGAAAGAGGTGAGCTATTGCTTCATTCACAGTATGCTTAGATTCCATATATTGTAGTATGGTACGCTTATGAGCATAGTCTACAGCAATACGAGTAAACCTCTTTGGCCTTCTGCCTGTTAGTGGCCTCCCCCTGTCCTAAGCGAAGTGCGAATTTTTATTTTAGCCAATCACATTTCTTCATTTAAGAATTATGTCCACAGCTAAAAATACTCTCACAACCAGTTAATTATGAGATTGTTCCTGCCACACATTTGGCTTTGTCACATGCCGAACACACGCCGAAAGAGAAAAACAAGTACGAGCAAATCCTAAGTCAAATCACTATGTATATGAGATTCGTCAAAACCTCTAGAGAATTATTCAAATCGTCCATTAAGATCTTCTAAAAGAAAAATAGAAAATCCAGACTCGGTCAAATTTAATATCCTTCTCTCCCCAATAAATTAATAAATATTGCTATCATGACCACAAGAGTCCTAATCTGGAAATCGAGTAGCTTAGTTTGTGCGTCGCAAAATTTAAATGAGTGGTGTTTATTTTTCTCGCATTTGATGTATGGTTAAAACAGATATACGAAAAACGAATTGTTTAACAGAGATAAACGCGACATACAGCAATCAGTTTAAAAACCGTGTGGAAACTTTGGTTTCGTTTCTTGAAATATTAAAAATTCTATCGCCCATGTTTTTGAAAGAAAAACCAACCAAATCAAATTTTGTCATCACAATTCGAGTCAAACGCTCGCCGACGGCGCACCATCTTCGACAAGCGCTCATGTAGCCTGGTGTTTGTACTGTATTACCCCTTCATATCTGGGATACAAATGTTGGAGGGATGATTTGCGCAGAGTTGTTAGGGCAGTACAGAACGGAGTGAGGACAAAAGTAGAGTGGTCTAGGCAGCCATAGTGGAGAGGAAGTCTTGAGTGTAGAAGGAGAAGACGCTTGTGTTGGACTTGGTAAAAGGAGAAGACACTTGTGTTGGACTTGGTAAAAGAAGAGGTGATGAATTATAGAGTCTGGTGTTCTGGTGGGAGTTACTCTCCACCAACCAGTCCAGTTATGTACGATTTCTCTACATGAAATAGTACAGTTATATTCCACTAGATAGTTATCATCACATCGGAGATGCTTACTTCGACAACCGATAATCTAAAGTGCACTGGTGCAGAAAATTGACAATTACAAAGTTAACAAATAAAGGCACGAGTTGCAGTGCCCGGCTAAGAATCAACGACCTTAGTAAACCCAAGACAACGGCTCATCACCATCACAATCCTTAAGATAAAGAGGACGGAAGTCACTTGCATCTTTATGGTTTGCTCCGCTACGCGTGGCAAATGCAGAGCTGCGCTCCTCCGATAAAAAGATTCTCTTAGCTGGAGAGTGCACCGCTCGACTCGCTGGAAAGCTTGGTGCTGGGCCCGCCTCCGGAAAAAACTCACGGCCTTGCTTCGCGGGCACTCCGCGCGGGTTTGCTGCGGCTACAGTTGGTCTTCTTCGCTTTGATTTTAACTCATTTTCACCCCCTCCTCCCGCAGCCGGGCACGATAGTCACTTTCAATAATAAATGCATTCTGGAGGTTGCACCCGGACATGAAAAAACATGTGCTGGGGAGTGCAATGGGTCCGTTTTCTGAGCTGAAAAGTATTAGGAAAGGCGCGGCGCTCCCTAGATTATCTACAGTATCTATTAGATTACCGGTACAGTACCCCCTTTATCTGGCGTTTGACAAATCATGGTTCCATGCCAGACGCTTTCTTACGGTACTGAGTACCGGTACCGGTACAAGAAAACTATACGGATTACGGTGGTGGAAGGTACAATCAGCCTGCAAGAAATGAGGACCAGTAGTCTACTGGCAGTAGACAAATTTTCACAAAGCTGCTAGACCCAGGGTCACGAATATGCACGCGTACTCGGCGGCTGTACTGATGGGTCTCCTAATGGTTGCCGAGGGTGCCTATGTATCTACGACCGCTTGTGCACACTCGGCGCCGAATCCCACGATCCAACGCTATGAGCCTGAAAGCATCCCAACCAGATTGGCTCCCAATAGGCTACTGAGAGAACCTGAGACAACCGAAGCGAGCAACGAGGACCGAGTTGTAAGTATCCATGCTGGCATTGAAAAACTCTCGGACCTGATAAAGACTGGAGTATCAAAGGTTCATGGATACCTGAACTTGGGACCGTCAGCAACCAGAGACCAACCGGCAGATGAAATTCTTCGCATCTACAAGCTAGATGATGGAATCGAAAAGGCTCTGGTCAGTCCAAACTTGAAGGCTATGGAAAGCCACGTGAAGGAGTTAAGCACGAAAAACCGAAAGAGCGAAGCGTCGGTGATTGGAATTCTCACGAGCCATTACGGGGACGATGCAGTGGCGAAAGCCCTTGTGACTGCACAGAAAACTGTTCAATCGGATGATGATGTGAAAACGATATGGCGATTGCGAAACGCGCAGCTTTCCAGCTGGTTTAGCAGCGATAAATCTGTCGATGATGTGTTCACTTTGTTGAAGCTTCGACATGATGATTACTTAGCCCTTGCCAGTCCGAAGATGGAGGTCTTGGATGATTATATGAAGCTGATCAACCGCGTGACATCAGGTCAAGAGACTTTGCTAAACGTGTTAACTAAGGGCTTCGGTGGAGAACAGACCTTGGCAAAACTACTTCTTCGTGGGAAGGAAGAGCCCCAGACCCGCGAGCTGGCGACGGCGTTGCAAAATGCGCTGCTGAACAAGTGGGTCACTGATAAATTTCAACCGGAAAGTGTCTTGAAGAAGCTCAAACTGGACCGGGACCTGATGAACGTTCTCTCGGATCCAACCCGACACACTTTGACTAGTTACATCGCGGTCTTCAACACTAGGAATCCAGGGAAAAAGGCATCGTTTATCGGCACACTTTCTGCTCATTACGGAGATGAGATGGTGGCGAATGTACTGATCGCGGCCTCGAGGAACGGCAACACAAGGAGAATGGCCAAACAACTACGAACCGATCAGTTGTCAGACTGGTTGAACAACCAAAAGTCTGCTGACGAAGTCTTCAGCCTTCTAAAGTTGCGGGCAGATCTTCCGAACATAGATGGAGCTCTCGCCAGTGGCAAATTGAAGTTACTGGAAGACTACATCAAGCTATTTAACCGTGAGAAGGCTGGAGACGAAACGTTGCTCAAAACGCTAACAACCGGCTTCGATGGAGAAAGTAACTTGGCAAAAGCGTTGCTGACTGCTGAGATCAACCCACACTCGAATAAAATGGTTGTTAAGTTACAGGGTGAGCTGTTGAACCAATGGCTCCTGAAGGGATTGAAGCCGGAAAGTGTCCTCAAGAATCTTGGACTGGACCGTGGGATGAAAGAGGTACTATCAGACCCGAATCGGCACTTTTTGACCAAGTACATATGGGAGTACAACTCAAGAAATCGATTCGACAGAACGTCATTGATTTTGACTCTTTCTGCGCATTACGGAGACGACGTGGTAGCGAGAGCTCTTGCTGTTGCGAAGGGCGACTCTGGCCTGGCACGGACGGCTGCAATTCTGCAGAGGCAACAGCTGGAAGGGTGGCTCAGTAGTGGGAAATCTGCAGACGATGTCTTCACGCTACTGAGAATTGGAGCCGACGATTTCTTACCCTTGAATAGCCAGAATTTGGAGACACTGGAAGATTTTGTCTGGCTATTGAACCTCAAAAATCGCCGCATCCAGACGAATGTATTCACAGTGGTAGAAAACAAATTCGGTGGAGATGTTCAGCTGGCGCGAGCGGTCGTTAAAGCCCTGAATGAAGCAGACGAGAGAGGGCTGCGCGATTCTGTCGGTATTGCGTCAAGATACCGGAGCAAGCTGTTTGGTCGATGGTTCGACAAAAGTATCGAGCCAAAAGATGTTTACGCGATGATCCTCAAAGTAAACGGAGCTTCTGCAGATGCTTTGGAGAAGTCGATTGTTTCCCGATACACGGCCTTCTACAAAAAGAGGCTGGCTAAGGCTTTCACCTTCGACAGTCCTAGACGGCTGTAGCTTTGCCTGTCATGCTCCTATACTTGGAGAAACAATGGAGAGCTCGACGTGCCTTCTTTTAAGAAGTACTACCCAAAAGGCAATCCAAAGATATTCTGCAATTCGGTTAACCGGGCTAAAAGAGTACACTATGCATAAGGCGTTCCTCCAAATACCAGGAAGTTAACCAGATCGATGCACTGTCAAAGCTTCGTAGCTATTACTGGAGGCAGTTGGTTGTCGCTCAGCCACAAAAGTACTTTCGTCAATCGACATGTTTAATTTTTCTTTTGTCCTCGTTCAATTGCACGGGCTCGTACGCTTAGGATAGTGCACATTCATGAACGCCTGCATTTGCGCTAGAGTGAGCTCCTGTTGCTTCATTCTTACGTTATTATGCTACTTTATGCCGCCGACTAGCAAAGCTGAGGCGTAATAATAAATATGGCAACAACACAATACATAGCACATATAAAGTGCTTTTTTCGTGTATGCCTAGAGCTCTGTACTACATCATGAGGTTGCTTGTGCAGATAGCGCTTGTCCACAGTCTTCACCAAATCCAACTAGTCACTACATGTATTCCAAAGCAATCTCTTACAAAAAACTATGGTGATTGCGGAAACAATCGACGAAAACAAAAGAGTTGAGTTTTACGGTGATGTATATAGTAAACACAATTGCGAATACATGAGGTAGATAGGTACTGTAGTACTTGACAAAGTTACTCCAAGCCCCACAGTTCGACAGCCAGCTTCACTCTACCCATGCGACTCTCCTCGACTGGGCTGCTAGCAATTACAGCTCTTGTTGCATCTAGCGGCATTGCCTCGATGTCTACTATCGCCAACATGGCGGTGCCTGACAAACTGTATAATCTGTCTAGTACAATTTCCACCAGGTCGTTGAGAGATTCTGAGCCAAAAGGCGGAAGAAACGAGGACCGAATGAATGCCGGTATCGAAAAACTCTGGGGCCTGATCAAAGCGGGGACATCCAAGATCAAGGAGTACGGGCAGTTCGGGACACTAGAGTGGTTTAGCAGAAAGCTACGAACGTGTGACGCCCGGTTTTTTTTGTGAGGATTGCCAGAGACGAGCGTCACACGTTCGTTCAAGTGATGTAGCTACGACTGATAAGCTTTCTACAAGTCGTATACAAATGTATATCTATGCACTTTAACATCCGAATACTGTATACTTGAGTACATTTTGTGCCCATTATAGCACTGCCGTTGGTTGCGCACGGGTCGGGCGATGCCACGCACCGTGCTATCAATGAAGCCGATACACCTGTCGATAGGACTGCCGCGTGCAAGAAGCTTGCTGCACTTAGCGTAGATTAGGTCCACCATGAAGCGAAAGATCAGGCACAGCGCACTGGGCGACCTGCCGAACATCACAGCAAGATCCCCGTACCGTCCAGGGTACGCGAGCTGGCGCAGCAACACACAGAACCCCTCGACTTCACCAACGCGAAGGCGGATCGGTAGCTTGTAGTCTTCCTCAAGCCGCAGCGCCTTGTGCAGCCGAATTACGTCACGCTTCCAGAATCGGAAATTAAAACGACAGTCTCCGTCGCTTAATGCGTTGAAATTGAAGTTGCCCTTCAGTGTGAGGACTGGTCGTAGAATAGGAGATCTGGCGAAGAGCACAGCGGCGTCCTCGACGAGGACGAGGTTCAGAGCGGTCGCTGCGAGGACTAAGCTCTCCTCGAGCATCTTGACTGGCTTGTGTGCTTTGCAAATGTAGTATACACCAAGGACGGATAAGAGCTCGCGTTCGCTCTGCAAAATGCTTCGCTGGCAAACCAACGTGTGCGGCAGTGTGATTAGGGTTGTGTGATTGGCGCTAGTCTACAACTCACACGAGTTCCTGCTGCTAAACCACTCTACTGGGATCTAAAGACCAACCTGCAGCGGAGATTTTGAAATTTTTCAATCTTGCGGATGGTATGGACAATGCTCTGGCTAGTTCCAACTTGAAAGTTATGGAAAACTACGTGAAGAATCTAAATTCGAAAAACCGAAACAGCAAGGCATCGATGATCGGGGTTTTCACGACGCACTACGGAGACGAAGCTGTGGCGAGCGCTCTAGTGGCTGCGGAGAAAAACGCGAAAACGACAGAAGCAGCTAACACGATAAAGCAGTTGCGAAAGGATCAATTATCAGCTTGGCTGACCAGTAAAGTATCCATCGACGATGTCTTCCATTTGCTCAAATTTCGCGATGATGGCTACGCAGTTCTTGCTAGCTCAAAGATGGAAGTACTGGACGACTACATGAGGCTATTTAATCGAGAGAAATCAGGCCATGAAACTCTGTTGGACGTGCTTACGAAAGGTTACGTTGGGGAAGGATATCTGACGAAGGTGCTTGAGCGTGGGAAGAAAGATGCGAGTACGAGTGAGTTGGCGACTGCGCTGGAGAACGCGCTTTTTAACAAGTGGTCAGTGGAAAATTTACGGTCGGAAGATGTCCTGAAAAAGCTAGGACTCGGCCGCGACATGAAGAAGGTTCTCTTCGATTCAAATCGAGACATTCTAACGAGGTACATTTCCATGTACAATGCGAAGAACGCAGAGAGCATGACGTCGTTGATTCAAACTCTTTCGACCCATTATGGAGACGGCATCGTTGCAGGCACATTGGTGATTGCGTCGTGGGATAAAAACACAGAGACACTCGCGAGACAGCTACGGAGTGACCAACTAACTGAGTGGTTGACGAGTCAGACATCTGTCGCCGAAGTTTTTCCGCGACTAAAGCTCGGGGATGACCGCTACCCGGATCTCATCGATCCAAAGGTGGAGGTACTGGACGACTATATTAAACTGTTTAACCGAGAGAAATCAGGTCAAGAAACGTGCTCAATGCCTTTACAGAGGGCTTCGGTGGAGACGACATTTTTTTGAGAGTGCTGGCGGCTTGGAAGGAAGAACCTCACACCCGCGATCTTGGAACTGCATTGCAGGACACCCTTTTCAAAAAGTGGGTCGCTGATGATTTGCAACCGGTAACTGCACTGAAGAAGCTCAGACTGGATCGTGACATGATGAGCGTATTATCGGATCCAAACCGACACACTTTAGCCAGGTACATATCAATGTACAATGAATGGAATCCGACCAGCAAGGCCTCGTTGGTTGGAGCGCTTTCCTCTCATTATGGAGATGGTGTTGTGGCTTACATCAGGGCATGGGAAATACAATACCCATTGTTATTTTGCGTGAATCACATCCGTAATAAAGACTGCAATACCTGGCAACACAATAATAATCACTGCAATAATCACAATATATTGCTATCACTTAGTCTTCGATGCAACCGAGAAGGGTTGTAACGGGGTACGTAGCACTAAGTGTACCCTGGTTACATGAAGTGTGACACTTCACACTTCAGGAGTATGACATGTCATACTCCGGGATATTTGGTACAAGGTACCAAGGTCATTCAAAACCAACCATTGGTTAAATGACATTGCATTTCTATAGGTAACTGATAGTTTGTATGAACCACAAACTTAACCTACCTATAAATATACTCAGTTTACAATCTACCTTATTTAGGTCACTTCGCTCTCTTTAATTAAAGAGGGGACCAGTGAACTGCCGTTCACTGAGAGTTTGTATACTCTCGGAAGATAACTTCCTCTAGCGCAAGGTGCTGTGTGACCCCGTCACACTTGGTAGCACTTGTAGTCAATCCACGCCATCGCGGGTAGACTACCTGAACCTCCGAAGTTCGTTGCCATGGATAGGAACGACTTCTCCCATATGAACGACTCTCAGTTCGAGTCGGTTCGGAAGATGGCAGGCATCTTCGGGATGGAGGCCCTGCAGAGCCTGGTGGTATCAACACCGGCTGAGCAGCTCGAGCGCGTCAATGCATTCGACGCGTACGAGCAGGGCCTCATCGCGCATGTGCGGGAGAACCTGCAGGCTCCGGCGGCGGGAGCAAACCCGCCTCACCCGAAGCCA